GGGGGGGGGGGGGGGGGCAAAGGCCTAGAGTTTCCGTTTACCTTCCTTTATTTGGCGAAATTGATTTAAATATTTGTTTATATTCGGATTATGTAATTATTTAAGCTATAATACTGTATAATATCATATATACAGTACATAAATAATATACAATATAATAACAAATATATTTATCATTTAACAACAATCTACGATTCCCCGCCCCCATTAATGCTCGGCTGGATTGAATTCAACCCAACACTGTCTAGACTAGTGGTGTTGATTCAACCATTCTCTGGAGGAGAATTGACCGGCTACCAGTGGCCGGTTGCTCTGATCGGTAGTTTTACGTAATTCTCCAACCAGAGTCATGCGAATGTCGGAACAGTGCGTAACAAACACGCTATTTGTTCTTCCTTATCCTTGCCCTATCATTTCCCCTTTAAACACTTACATACGAATCACACGTGTTGGGTGACCAGACGGAATCTTACAATTTGTCCTGTCTGGGGCGAGATACCAGGAGGAGAAAAAGCATTGAAGCTGACACGTAGGACGGCACTGGATATCGCTTTCGAGCGGGACAGAAACACCGTCATCTCTAGGGATATAACATGCACAACACGCGTCGAACTAACGACCACAGCAGTTGACGCATCCACCTACCTAATGATCAATCGTGTCGTAAACATTCAGTTACAGAACAGCGGCCTATTCAGGGAGGGACTCCACGGATGCAATGTCCTTCCCCTGTTCCATTTTTACTTTCTCGCATATTACATAAGTAGTATAGAGAAACTAAGAGGTATGTAATGCTGCAAGAAAACCAGCAATTTTTAGGTAGCAAAATTTGTATTGTAGGTACCAGATGTAGAAAAAGATTCTAATTCTTGTTCACATATATAGTAAATTACTGCCTCTAATACATTGTCATGTCAAGATTCGTGTGTTCGAATCTCGCCCAGGGCATGGATATTTGTGGGTGTCCGTATACTGTTACCGTTACCCCTAATGTCACAGTCGTTACTCTATGATCTTAAAAAGGCCTGACAAAGGAAACTCTCGACAGATTTTCTCGGACTTTCTTCCTTTCCCCTTCCTATGATTTTGGCATCATTATTGACCACCTCGTCATTCTCTCCGTCGTCTATTCACTACTTCTTTAATGGCCCAGTGCTCTAAATAAGCAATCGACTGCTTGCGCAGGGGAGTGCAGGAAGGAGCAGGACAAGGAGCACGCGACTTGGACGCCGAAATGCGACCGCTTCAGCAACTTCATGCCCGTGCAGTGCAAGGGCTCCAGAGGCGACGGCCGCTGCTTCTGCTGGTCGCCCAAAGGGGAACGCCTGTTCGGCGAAGCCGCCTGGACCGACGCCACCGAAACCAACATGCACTGCAGTGAGTCACGTGCTTTCCTCCCGCTGTTGTATTCTTCGACTCTTCTCACGCGATCTTGAATAAATCTCAAGTACATTTTTTGTAATGTGTAGACTTCGAGTAATTTTGAGTGAAATCGTAATAATGAAAAATATGTACTCAGGATTTTCTCAGAAATGGCTGAAATGTTTTTCTTGTAATTAAAATATCGTGTATTCAATAAATGTTAGACAAATCTAGAGAATGTAAAGAGGTCGGAAATGATAACTTGCTAATGCACAAATAGTGCGAACGGAAATCGAATATAATGGTGTTATATGCCTATATGCATATGATATTTTTCTGATTGTTAGCCAAGTCCCGCGTAGGTGCCAATAGATGTTCGGCCGATATAATCTTCAGGACTGGGTTAGAACGTTACCTGCCGAACCACTGTGTACAAATAGTTGCTGAAATATCAGAGGGAAATGTCACTTACTTAAGTGACCATGAAGCTTTCCGTTATATCTTCTTTGGCAAAAAGCTATCATTTTCGATCTCTCTACATTCCCGAGAAGTTTGTAACATTAATTCCGTAACGCATGTTCAACATGACGTAACCGTTATAGAGGAGTTACTCTAAGAAGGGACCACTTTGACATTTCGGGAAGGGCATGAACGTCATGCAGGGCGATGGCATTGCAAAAGATAATGATGGAACCTTTTACAAACGAGCTAACTCTAAGAATGCACTGACAAAATGAGTGTATGGTTATATATATATATATATATATATATATATATATATATATATATATATATATATATATATATATAGAGAGAGAGAGAGAGAGAGAGAGAGAGAGAGCAGATATATTGCCAGCAGTGGCCAAGTAGTAGGTATGAAAGCGGTCCCTTCTCACAGTAATCCCTCTCCACCATTAGCACCGAGACGTGTGGGTGGTGCGCAGGTTGCAGTCTGCGCGCGTGGCGGCTCACGCAGGAGGGCAAAGGCGCGCACGAGGCCCCGCGCTGCGCCGCCGACGGCTCCTTCGAAGCCCTGCAGTGCGCGCGTGGCGTGTGCTGGTGCGCCGACGCCAAGACGGGCGCGCCCGTCCGACGCGTCGTGCCCGAGGGCGCCGCCCGCTTGCTCTTCTGCTGTGAGTGCTCCGCGCCGCTCCTCTGCGCTGCCCCGTTCGCACGAGCTAATTGACCTTGAATTGGAATTAACATATTTTGAACGAAATAAAGTTTGACGAAACGTTCAAGTGGGACACCAGGCCGTCGCGAGTTGAGAGGGAGAGGGAGTCCCAGCAACTCGTGTGCAGGGGAAAACGAAACAGTGTATCCTTAACTGTCGAGCGGTCGCCTTGGTTGATCGAGTCAACCATTCCCCATTTTCTGTTCGAATAATCTAATCGCTTATTGTTGCATAACTAAATCTTTGAGAATCTTTTAACTGTATTATTATCATTCTCCAGTAGACTTTATAAGAGCGTAGAAGCATTGTGTGTGTCGATAAATAACATTATTTTCTTCGCTGTACGTACGTTGTTTCACGGAATTAACCACGCGACCAGTACTGTAAATGTAATTTACCTTACACGTTTAAGTCACATGTTTAAGAAACATACACGCGTATATAACAAATATTTATAAAGAATAAACAATTGATAACAAAACATGTTTGCTGCCGCTTATACCAGAAAGTCGTGAAAATGAAGAACCCTCACCCGAAAGAATGAGCGGATGTAGAATCTGTAGAAGAAAAGAGAATACCGTTACCAGCACAAGATGCTGCCAGGTTTTTTGTTTGCAAAAAGCATTCTGCCATTGTTTGCCAAACGTTTATGGATAGTAATATGGTTAATATACCATAGGATGAGTAATATGTTTCAATGATATTCTCAAATTAAAAAGGTTTTTTATTTCATTCTCCAACGCTTGTAATGTTCCGTCCATATTTTTTAAAATATAATAAAGAGAAAAATGTAAAAAAACAGTGTGTAATATTGAGTAGAAATTGTGTATTTTGTGAATCGATGCATTTTCAATAATAATTTAAGGAATTTATGTATGGAGGTCGATGGTTGATGAAATCAATCCGCTATGTTTCTGGAAGAGACGCGCGACTGCTCGAGAGTTAAATAAGATTATTCTTCTCACCCGGATAGTAGCGCGTTGTGAGAACCGGAATGCGATATCGCAACAAGGAATTACTTCCTTTTTTAAAAATCACTCCAACACTTTCAACAATGAAAGCATTCTCTAGTATCAGTACGAATCAATGAAAAACTTTTCAATTCTATTTTTTACCGCAAAAAACTGGTCAATTCATTTCAACCAAAATGTGTAGACATCATAAACAGAAAAATGTAAAAAACAGTGTGTAATAGTATTTACTAGGCTGTCCGGGTGACGCCGCGTCCATGGCGAAGGTGCCGACGTTTCGGTTGCCATTC